GTACCCTTTGCAGCCCCTTCAAAAGACTGGCCAGTTGTTTAAGGTTCCAACAAACACCTTTAGGGCCCGACTTTCGGATGGTTCTATAGGGAAACATCAAGGAAACAAGCAAACCGTCGGCTCCCGTTTTGGGGGCTCTCTCAATTTTCTAAATGGGTTCGGTCTGCAACACTCCCCAAATGCCGAACTGTTCTCATGCAGCTCTCAGGGTTGCTCCCAAAACTCTGCTAGGAATTGGGAAATGGAGAACACCAGGATCCCACCACCAAACTCACTTCCGTGGATTGGCCAAAGGCTCCCAAAACTTTGCTTTGCCATCTTCATTTGGCCATGGGTCAAAATCCACATCGCACCCCCCAGTAAACATCCCAATTCAACCACAAAAATAGGTTCCAACATGGGTGGTGAATTCACCTACCAAAATGGGATCCCACAACGGTTTTGACAACCACAGCCATTTAGTGTTCCCATCCCGAGCGACCAAGACAGTCCGCAACGGAACTCGGGGAGTGAGCCCAAGACATCTCTCGGATGCGAGCCCTTGCTTGGAGGTTTCGACCTTTTAACCGGATTATGTTTGATCTTTTTTCCAAAAGTTGATGTGAGGATCCATTTGTGGGCTGACTTGGGACACCAAAGAGAAACCAACCATTTTGGGGTGGCCTTGAAAGGGGAGCCGAAAGGAAACTCAAAGCCTCCCCCTATCTTCCCAGACCAAACCCCAAAGAAATATGACAGTAACGCCTTGTGCAGAGCTTATTTTACCCCAGATCTCTGATGTTTGGCTGGTCTTTATGGGGTATGTTCCAGGGGTCTGCTGGTGCGACCTTTGAGAAACAGATGCTGTTCATTCCCTAGGGTAAAATAAGGCAAGCGAAGCGCTTGTCCCGGAAAGCCATTGGCCAAAAACGACCCAAGTGCATGGTCGGACTTTGACAGGGCTCCCTATTCCCTTTTGAACATCACCAAAAGGAAGCTCATTTGAAACATGGCAACCAAAAGGTGATGTTTACAAGCACCAACCTGGCAATTCATGGAAACCAGCCACAGGGGAATTCTGCAGGGCATTTGCCAACGACCCACCAAACACACAAGGATGTCCTGTAGAATTTGCTGTAGCTGGTTTCTTGGAGAAGTATGTGTGTGTGTGTGTGTCTTGCTTTAAAACAACACCTCCCCAAACGGATTTCGGTTCTCCTTTGGTTTCCGTTTAAATCCGCCAAACAAGGGGTAGCCTCAAAACCCGCCGAGCCACCCACAGAGCGATGACTCGTCTGGGCGCCCGACCGCTGTCCTGACGTACCTCAATGCGATCGATCCCATGTGCCCTCTATGGCCATGGGTCAAAATCCACATCGCACCCCCAGTAAACATCCCAATCCAACCACAAAAATGGGTTCTAAAACGGGTGGCGAATTCACTTACCAACCAAAATGGGATCCCAAGGTTGTTCAAATGGCCATGGGTCAAAAGCCCGTACCAATCCCAATCCCCAGTAAAATAGGTTCTAAAATGGGTGGTGAATTCACCAATCCCAACCAACATGGGATCAACCATAACGTGTTTGACCAGCCAAATCTTTGGACCTCCTTCAAATGGTTTGGGCCAACTTCATGGGAACTGTGGCAATCGAGCCGCAGGGTTTGGCAAACTTTTGTGGCAGCATGGGAGCCGTGGCCACCATGTACCTGGACCCTCAAACTACCCATAAAAATTGGATATCACCCCATAATCTTGGGGGTCAAACCCATTTTTAAGGGAATTTTGAGGGTTCAGGTATGTTTTTTGGAGGTCCATGCCCTCTTGAAGTTGATGCTTTGCTTGGAGGTCCTCAAGTGAGTTACTCCCAGTCAGGTCCACTCCCTCAAGCTCCCAACATTGATGGGAATTCAGACATTCCTCTCAACATTGCGACATGCCGAGAATTGACCTCTCTAAGCCGTGAAGTAAATACATTCCTTCCGTTTCTGTGAGCCAGTGTCCAGGATTTCCATTTCGCCGTTGCCCCTTCGGCACGGCTTTTTTCTTTGCCGGTGTTTCGCCCGCGGGGAAACTTGTGGCTTTCCCAACTCAGTTCCACAGAGGAAAACAGGTACCCAAAAAGAGGACACGCCCAGACCGTTGCCCCCTCGCGACCCAGTCGGGCCGGTTCGGGGCCAAAGCGAAGCGAAGATTCCCAACCGGTACATCGGCAAACACTTGGTTCATCGAAAGAACGGGACTGGACCAACCTACAAAAAGCCTCAACGACACATGCCAAATCACGCCAAGAACCCGAGAAGCCGTTCTTGAGACTTGCAAACCGCCCGTGCCTGATACCCCAGTCGGACAGGGCCAGCTTGACGGCCTTGGCAAGTTGGCGACCCTCCAGCTCCATTTAGCTGTATCGCCGTGTTTTGTCGACTTTTCAACTTGAAGGGAAGCTAACAGGACAACCACCATTTCTGGGAGCCCCGATGTTTTGTTTGACTCATACCCATTTGCATGCCATCCGCACGTGTATCATCACATGGGAAACCCACAGGGTGAAAGCCCAGAAGGGCGCAACAAAATCACCCTGGGAATCCACCGGACGCGCGACATGTGGCGACCATGGTCGCCTTCAGAAAGCAAAGAAGAAAGGCGATTTAAACTGCTTGAGCGTTTTTTGTGTTTTTTTGGTGAGAGCGCCACGGTTGGGATTGGTTTTAAAGGGACACCAAAAGGAAAACCCTACATTATATCTATAGATCCTATTTTGACACACAGATCCATGTGGTTTAGACATGTTCAAATGGATATCGCTGTCTCGCAGCGATGGGATGCCCGAAGGTTTTCTGGATCCGTTTCCCATGGGAAGGTACCGGGCGCCAGCTTTTCATATTTCAAAGGCCACTTTGGAAGTGGAGCTTGAAAGTTGAAAGCACATGCCCGAGAGGTCTTGATGGAACCTTCGGCCATGGAAATTCGATTTTGGCAATCCAAAGCGCCCCGGGTCTCAGGTGAGTCGGTGAGACACAATCAAACCCGTGTTGTTCAAATGGTCCACCCCAACTAGGTCCTCCAGTAGAGAGGTTAGAATAAGGCCAACTTTTGTCTGTAGTCTGTTTTACTAGGGGAACCCTCCCCCCAAAAAAGAAACGGTAAACGGGCACCTAGCTGGGGACCCTCCCGCCAAAAAACCGATGTAGACAACTGAAACTGGCGGCTCTCCGCGCCCAAGATGATCCGAAGTGACCCGAATCGGTTTGGATTGATACGGTCCAGGAGTCCCCGCCGGGCTCCTAGCGTTCGGAGAGAAAGCCGGGGGCTGGTCTTAACATACCCTCAAAACTGGGCTGCCTGGGCTGCCCCCCCCAAATCAACAGTGGCCAAATACTGGTGGTGTGCCTTGAAACAGCCGCCACTTTTGCAGGTTCCAAAAAGGGAAACGGAGGAAACCCCGGTCAAAATCGTAGAAGCTTCCTTTCGGGTTTCCCTCTTCTGGATGCACTTTACATTGGCCCCAGAAACCGGTTGGGAGCCAGAAAAGACAAGAGGGCTCTCATTTGCAGCCGGCCCGCGAAAGACAAAAGCCAGCACTTTGGATGGCCTGATCCCGGCCCGAGGCCGATGCTGAGAAACAGGATCCCAGGTTTGGCAAGACTCGAGAAGCGTTCCACTGAGAATGTCGACGCCATATTTTCATACACCCCTATCTATCAATATGGGTCCCGGTGTCAAACTGGGTTTTAGTGGGGAATCAGACCACTTTTGGAGGGGAACACCCCCAGATTAATAAACTGGGGTGGATTGATATGGAGTCAACATTGCCTGATTCAACCCAAACAGCAGTGTTTCACCAAACGAAACACCTACACGCACCTTGCCTCATATAAACTGAATGGTGCACCAGCAAACATTGTTTGTTGAAATAGTAGCACTACAAAATTGAACCGCGCGCTTCTTTTGTTGACATCCGCTGGAACATGCTTGGGTGACACACACACACAAGCATGAACCGCTAAACGCCTCTCAAGAATGCCCAGACTTCGGCCGCCCGAAAGACCCGCCCCCCCTCCTGTGAGAATGGTAGCGACATGCCATCACTCCGGTTGATTCGTCGGTCCAAACCTGCCTCGACCCTGCTGGATGTCGGGCTTTCTTGCATGTCCCACTAAAACATTGCACTGCAAGGAAGCTCTGTTTAAACAATCGCCCAAACGGTGATGCATGGATCACCCAAACAAGGAAATGTCAGTATCCCTGTATTGCGTAGCGTCTGGAAAACATCGAACATCATGTACATGGTTTTGTCTTGTCGGAAAACAATGTAATTCGAAGCACGGAACTTCGTCTCTCTTTGGTCCTACGTCCTGTAAAGCGTTTCCTAACTTGCTTCCTTGGCAGCATGTACACGTATTGGACTGTGCTTGTGGGCGCTTGCCAAGCTTGAACCGCAGAAGCGTTCTGATGAAAGCAGCCTTGCAAGCGCAGATGCAATGCTGCAGCATTTGGGCTCTCACCAAATAGGCCTTTTGATATCCCTTAAGCAAACCCTCCAACCAAAGTGGTTCCGTGCAAGTTGCGCCATTTCCTCCAATCGATGAGTGAAGGCCAGGCAGGCTGCTATGCGACGAGCTAGCCAAGCGCCTGGATGTGCGTAGTGTTCACCCGGATTAGTAAACCTGTCCTAATAACAGGGGTGTCCCCTCCAAAAGTGCTATGAATCCACACCAAAAGTGGACCCCCCTCTTAGTGTTGCAGGGGTTTACTAAGCCGGGGCTCCCATCAAGTCCGGTGACAATGGCGACTCTGGGCATCAGGGCTGCTCCGAATCGACTGGATCGATCCCACAAGTTTCTACTGAGCCAGAGTTGGAACCAAATGAAACCCCACATTTCTACCTGCCTGGACCCTCAAACTACCCATAAAAATGGGAGATCACCCCATAATTTTGGGGGTCACACCCATTTTTAAGGGGATTTTGAGGGTTCAGGTACCTGCTTGGCTTAGGAACCTCTGATCTGATGGAACGGGAGCTAGTGAGGCAGCCCACCGACTAGGGAGCTCATCACGCAGCAGGACCTCAGCCATGGGGGCGGTGAAGTGAACCAGACGAAGCTCCTGGGAGCAGCATGTTTTTAGCAAAATGGCTGGCCTCCCCGTGATTTTCTGGCAAACCGAAACGCATGGGTAAAACAAGTTGGGTATGTCTTTGTTTCCTACCCTCTAGGGTTTAAAGGGGACCGCAAGGGCACCACCCATGGTGGGCCACAAGTTCTCCATCCACTTTTACAAGTTTGACTGGGCAACCTTCGGGATGCCCAAAAAGCATGGGTGCCCCACAGGCGTGGCTTCAGCACCAGAAGTAACCGAAGAAAACAGAACAAAGTAGCTCCAAAACAAAACGCACATCGGTTCTCAATGCCAAGCATTGTCAAAACAGAAACGGGATACAACAATACAAACATATTTCTGAATGCCAAGCACCGTGAGCAAAACAAAAGCGGGAGAACACACAGCACTCACTCGCTGGTTCTCAGGGAATGAGGAGTGACATCTATAAACCATTGTTGCGGGAATCCCGGATTCCCCTTCCGAACCAGCACAATGGGGGGAGAATCCTTCCTATCGCACATCGCAAGCTGAACAGGACTCAAACCAAACGCCGGCGAGGACTCGCTTCGCTGGGCTGCCCGGCTCGTCCGCTTCGAAGAGGTTCCGGAAAGCCTGGCCAAACTTTCCGGAACCCAAGGCTTTCACGCGAATATGTTGGGTGGGAAGTCACGGCCCGCCCCTCTTGTGGGAAGTCATTGCCCTTCCCTCTGGTCCTCCCCAAGCTGATCATATAAAAAAAAAATCATCCTGTTATTGTCCTTTTGATTTATAAGCTTAAAAACAAACACATATTTCCTCAAAAAAAAGAAGAATACATAAAAAGGAAGAAAACAACCAGAAAAAAACACGTCCCGGACCCCTCACTCCGATTCCGTTATATATATATATATATATATACCTGGACCCTCAAACTACCCATAAAAATGGGATATCACCCCATAATTTTGGGGGTCAAACCCATTTTTAAGGGAATTTTGAGGGTTCAGGTATATTAAAAAAAAGGTGGGCCCAAGGCCTCGAAGGAGATCTCCCCGGAAGCGCCCCGGCCTCCGCTCGTTTTTTGCGAGGACTTTGGTGAAAGCCGTTTCCACCTTTCTAGCCGCCCACCTTTTTTTTGTTTATTCCGTGGAACCTGAGCTTGGGACATGGCCGGCTTTTCTTGGACAAAAAAGTCGTCTTCCTAGGGTCCTGACAGATTCCATGTTGGTTGGGAGCCTCTACCAAAGGGGTGCAAATCCAAACCAATCAAAAAAAAAGAACGATCGGGGGTAAGGTCATTTGGGCACAGAGTGTGTGCCCTAACTAGAACCCCCCTGCCAGCACCCAGCTTTTTGGACAGCACGCGCTTGGGATTTTGGGCATGGGAGAAAGCAGTTGGGGGGTGCTGGGGGGTGGTATAGCTTCAAAGGCGAGGGAAAGGGGCGGGGGGACTCAAAAAAGAAAAATGCGAGGGAAAGGAGGGCCCTTCTTGAACCAACGAGACAAGTAAAGCCATCAAGCTCCAAGTTATCAGTCCGATGAACCTCAGGACATGGGAAACTCGTGGCCCGGGCCCCCAAAATCATGGGGTAATTCAGTTTGATCGTGCCGCGTTGCCAACAAGGGCCACCCTTTTCTTGTTGCTTGAAATCAAACTGACGCACCTCCCTTTCAAAGGACCAAAAGGGCCCGGGTGGCGTGTAACAGAAAGAAGTTGTCAGAGCTGCAGCCAGCGCTGTTGCTAAAACGGGCACTTCCGCAAGTGGAAAAGGACAAGCCACGACAAGCCCCCTTTTTTTGAGATGGTGCTTAAAGGGAAGCCGAATGAATGGAACCACACCTTTTCCTGGGGGGGGAATAGGGGAAACTGTGGCAAGCTCAGAATCAGTCGTGTCACTTCCCTGATGTGTATGACGCAAATACTCAAGCAGACTCTGGAAATAGGTGCCCTTTTAAACGCACAGCGGGATTGTCCCTCCTAAATGATCATGGAATCCGTCTCATTTGTTTCACCCAACTCACCAAAAGAAGAGCCACGTACGTATCCAAATCGAGATGACCAAGGAAACGACAAGGTGCCACTTCTCACCTGCAAAAGGCCGCCAACGCTGATCAACACGTGGGCTGCATCTAGACGCACTTTGCGAGGTCCCATTCCGTTGTGTCCTTCTTGAGGCCAAATCAGTTGCTTGGGACGCCAAATGGAAAGCCGGCAGTGAAGCAGTGCTTTCTGAAAGGTGCGGAGCATCCAAATCAAACGCCCGTGTCTCAAGTTTCGGTCCGTCCAAATGTTGCTTTGGGCTTCCCTTGAAAGGCTCAGGCTCCGTCAAAACTCCTATCGCAACCTTGGCCAACTTTGTCTAAAACCACGTGGACCAGAGAAGGGCCTGGCTTTTCGATGGCACAGCTTCCAATGGTTTGGAGCACCCGGGCTGGGGTGGGGCCCCAATTGCCCTCAAGAACCAGCAGTTCAACTCCCCAATCCAAACCAACGAAGGCTACCTGAATGGCCATGTGAGTGGTCGAAATTGCGCAGGTGTCCCCTTGACTTGGTTGCCGTTGACCCCCTGCAAAAAGTTTAACTTGTTGGGGGGTTAGTGGAAAACACCTTTATTTTCCAAAAAGTTAAAGTCTAAAGATCCAACCCAATAGCAGTCAAGCTGAGAAAATTGAGTCGCCGAGGGGGAGTTTAGGCATTTCGACCAAACCTGCCCCCTCAACACAGAGAAAACCCATGGAACAAAAAGTACCGACCACTGTCAGCAAGTGCCATTTCTGCTAGCCCCTCAAAAATGGTTGGCTTCCTTCGGCTCCCCTTTAACCCAGAACAACGGCACCCTCAGACAAAAAGCGTTCCCTTGGCTCAAACTCTTGCCATTTTGCACAGGGCCCGGCGGATTACACAGGTTCGAACCTGCCACTGTGTCACCTTGAAGGCTTTTTGGAGGGCGTATCACGGAAAGTGACAAGTTCCTCCAGCCAGCTGGTTTTGTGGGGCAATTTTTAAGGGTCCCCCTTTGCTTGGGTGCCTTGTTGTAAGGGTCCACCAAAAACCCCCAAATCCAGCTTTGGTGGTCTAAAACTGCTTTTGCAAGCATCTCCAAGAACCATCCCAGTACAGTGCTGTCCAACAAGTTGTAAAAAACCCAGGACCCGGGTGCTGGCGAAGCTTGCCTCCGGTGCGATAGGTAGGGAATGACTTTCCGAGTCCGGGTATTAAAAATCAGCCGGAAGGGGATTCCTGAAAGGAAACCCTAGGGGATGGCATCTTTCCAGGGTCAATCCAAGTTTCGTTCCCTGCTAGAAACCATCAAGTTTCATTTGGAAGGGAGAATGGGATTCCTCAGGGCATGAAGAACTTTGATTCAGGCCTGGGTACAAGGCCATCTTTGCCATCGGAAAGAAGCAAGTAAAAAACCCCATCCATTTGCTTCTTCTGCGCTCCCTGGAAAAATGAGAACAACTTCCAGTAGTGAAATCGCCTCCCAACTCAAAAACCAACAAGGGAACATGAAAGGAAGATTCCCCTCAGTTTGAAACCCTCCTGGAGATTCATTCTCCATGAATTTCCTGGTAATTAATTCTCGGCTTTGACTTGCTTTTCGTAAATATCGATGTTTTTTTCGTGAAGTTGCCTAAAACTACTAAAGCTCCTATATTTTTGTCAGATTTCAGAATTGGTACGGTTTCACGTTTTCCCCGCCCAGAAATACCCGCAAAACGCCCGCAAAAAGCCCGCAAACGCCCGCAAAACCCCGCAAATCAGAAAAAGACGCTTTTTGGGCTTGGGAGTTGCGCAAAACTCCTAGAAACCACTTAGAACGCCCAACACGCCCAAAACTACCAGGAAACTAAAACGCCTAGGAAAAGGCCGGAGAATGAATCTCCAGGCTGGCTTTGAACCCCCCCCCCCCATTTTCGCACGTTCCTGGCCCCGACTGGCCAAGCGCGTCCTTCGGCGCATTTGTCGCTTCGCTTCGGCGCTTCGATGGGAGCCCCGACGCAGCTCCTTGAGGAACTCTTTGGGCAGCTCCGCCACCGTGAGGCCGCGGGCCGCCAGCGCCGCCTGGCCACTGGCGCTGGAGGCGAAGCGGACGCGGTCGGACGGAGATGCGGGGCCGATGTTCGGGGCACTCAAAACGCTGAGCCAAAAGGCGAGGTCTGAGGGGTTTTGCTGGTGCCAGACACATACCACTGGAGTCCCCGAGAGTTTTTCGGATGAAGCTGTCACCAGCAGGTCAAAATGTGCGTGGCCTCAAGCGAAGTGAGGCCAGTGGTGGATAAAATGACTTGGATCCCATTTGGGGGTTCATTTCTCATGGGTTTTCCTCAGGTTACCCACCCACCCCCCGTTATTGATCTCGCCTGGATGTCGCCGGTTTTCACCATGCCTCGCTGGTCCGGCCCAAACCTCGATCAGCGGCTCAAGCCATTCATTGAGCCGCGATGGTTTCCCCAAACAAAGCTCTAAACTGGGCTGCCCGTTTTCTGATCCCCCGCGAAAAGTTTTCACTAAAAGTGGGTGAAATGGAACTACCGCTAAACACTAAAAGGATCTAAAAAGCTAAGGGAATGACTGGGAGCCACCAAGTCCACCAAGTGATTTTGAAACGCCCTTTGAAACCACTATCTGAACCCCCCACATGTTGCTCCTTTGCTGGTTGCTTCGTCGGTAAAAGCGAGCACCCGTGCGAAAAAAAACAGCTAGCGTTGTTTAGATCGACTCGCCTCGGATTCCTCTCTAAGGTCAGGGTTAACCCTGGTCGTTTCGTGAGCCCCTTTCGAGGTTTCCGAGCCACCAAAAACCAACTTGTTCAACAACCAGCAGGAACTTCCGGCGCTATCGGCCAGACAGCCTTCCTTTGGTGTTTGCCCTACCTTCCTGTAGAAATGTTCCAGGCTCTGGCTTCTATAAGCCGCTAAGCCCTGTTCACTGTCTGGTGTTTCATTCTCATGTGGCTGCGAGAAGCGACTGCTTTCATACGAGCCACGGAGAATATGACTTGCTCGTTCAATTTGGCTACTACAAACTGACCCATTTATAATGTCGCCTCTGGTTGTGGAGGTCAGACCAGGTTTCAAGTCATATCCTTTGCGAGTGCACCCAGAGCAGCAGCCCGAAACCCGAAGCCCAGCAGTCAACGCTTTATCGCGGAAGCCAACCTTTTCCCGCAACCAGTTTTAGGAGGAGCCCAGCTGGCAGCCGCGTGCCCGCGAGAAAAAAACCATTGGAAGAAATCCATACAAAAAGGTAACCTCGAAAAGGGTAAGCTCAAGACGCCCCTGTCACGTGTTCGGCCCCAAACCAAAGACCGCAACCGTCGTGCGAAATGGGGCGAAATGGAGGACTCCCCAAAAATCCCAAAAGGAAGCTTACCTTAAAACCACTCAGTTGCCCCCAAAGGACAAAGAAATAGAAGGTTCATCTTTTGGGGCGACGAAAAACTCACTTCCTGAGTGGACTGGCCAAACAAAGTCACCAGAACAAAGTTCCCAAAAAGCGTGAAGTCCAGGAACGCTGATTTTTATTTTATTTGTTTTAGAAAAATGTTAACACAAAAACAAACAGTTGCCCTGGTAACACCCAAGCTACACTCAATGCCCACTTTTTTCAGGGTATGACGTCGACCCTCTACTAAAAAGGAGGTATTTACCCTGGAAAACCAGGTGTTACAAAAAACCCTGAAAAAGGCGGGTATTTGGAGTAGGGGGACCATCAAGGTCATTTTTGGTCGGATCTTGACTTCGCCGAAGGCGCTCCGAATTCGCCGAGGGGCTGCTGCCATGCCAAGCGCAGCAGCTTGTCCCTTTCCTGTGGGCTTCGGTGACGCAGGTTCGTCACCTCGTGGCTTATGGGCGGCTTGGCGTGTTGAGGGGCCAGAGATTCGTGGAGGGGGTGGGGGGGTTGAGGGGGAAAAGGGGGGAACTGGACTGAAAAAGTCTTTTCTTGGGGGGTTAGCCTCTTTCCTTCAGTTTCTGCCGGCTGCTTTTTGATATCAAACGCACTTGTGGACACAGAGTGCGAGTGTTGGTGGAAAATCCACAGTCGGGGCATCCAAGATGACTAGACAATTCCAATCCTGAGCCTTCGGCACAAGCGAAACCTCACTTTTCTTCACCTCAGGGTTTCCGGAAAAAAAGCCAGATCTTTCGCAACCCAACCACAAAAATTCCCGTTGAATCCAACCACCTCAGCTTCCCCACCGAAGGTCAAGTTTGGTCCTGGCCAACTACGAACCTCACGTACATAGAGGTACCAAACTCTGCACTTTCCGAAAGGGATCGATGCCCTTTTGGGCGGTCCACTGGGCTGTCCGCTTTCGGATCTGAAACTTAACTTGTGTTCACATGGAACCAGAATCGTCCGGTTCAACTTGGGATCTTGGGTGGCTTTTCGTGTAGGGGCTGGACTTCCATATGGGTGTGGCTCAAAACTAAACGATCGGAGGGGCAAACCGCAGGTTTTGGTACAGGTTTCCACTTGCCAGGGTTCCATTTGGTACCGGTTTTTTGAGCCTCAGCCACATGGAAGTCCAGTCCCTACACGAAAGGCCACCCAAGAACCCAAGTTGAACCGGACGATTCTGATTGAACGGACAGTCCAATTGATTGTCTGTGGCCTCCCAAGCAATCAGCTCACGGTGAACAGCATAGGGGCACAGGGTCGCTCCTCGAGCCAATCGGCCCAAGGCAAAACCAGGGACAAGGCGGAAACAAAAAAACATCTCAGACACCCCTCACTCAGGCAATGTGGGTCGTAGGTAGTATGGACCTTGCCTTTTTGGAGGTTGCTTTTTCAATGCAGGTAAGAGGGGGCCCGTATTCACGTTTGCAGAAATAAACCACCTATTGATTGGCAAGGTGTTTTAGTCCGAGATCGACATTGTGATTCAGCCAAGAACTGAGGTCATTTATAGGGAACCATTTTGCTAGAACTTGTTTCTCCACAAATGAGCTCGCTACAGCTTTTGCAAAAGCATGCAGGGTTTCATTGCGGTTGTGGTGATTTGGTTACGTTACACCCATAGTTCAAGCCAGAGGGAGAGACAGGAGGAGGCGGAGGAGGAGGAGGAGGAGCAGAAGAACAAGAAGACAAATAAAGAGCAAAAGGCAGAGCGCAATGCTTCTCCTTCATCTTCAAAGGATTCAAGACCCACCCATCCCAGGGCTCGGGCGGCTGGATAATCCTAGGATACGGCCCAAGACTTTAAGGGTTTCATAAAGGATAGCCCCCCTGCCCCAGATCCCCGGTCCAAACGAAACGAAACGCATGGCCGTTGCACTGGGCTGCCCCGACCCCTGCCAGGAATTCGGTGTAGCTGATGCGGCCCGTACGGCCCACATCCAGCTCGTCGACCACCTGGCGGAGGCTGGAGGCTTGATACTACCGGCGTCTCCTGGTCGTGTGGTTCGAGTCACTCGCCTCGAATGAGGTTCCATGTGTGATGCCATTGCGTTCAGATATACCACTGTTGAAAAAAAAGAGAGCGGGTTGACATAACTTTCTGGACGAGTTAAGAGGAATCCAGTAAGTATTTGGGGGTTTTGAAAGCCAACCCTTGGATCTTGTCCCTCCCAACTTGAAGGTGTTCCACGCCCTCTGCTCTTGAACACCTGGCTTCCCACACTCCAGGGGTTGACCTCGTACCCTAAAGGAAGTGGGGAACCACCCGATCTGGTTCCGGGTCCCGAGCCTTGTCCGGTGCTAAGGGGAACACGCGTTGAGAAACGTGACAGGTAGGACAACGGCCATGTGCCACGGCTGAGTTCCGCCGACCTGAACCAGTTCCCATGAACCAAAGGTTTGTTTTCTCCAGCTGAAAGGTTCGTCGGCGTTGCCCCCTGGCTCTTGGCAGCTTTGAGGGTTCAAAAGCAAGTTTCGGGGCTGGGGATATCACTAGTTCTGTTTCTGTCATTTTTCAATTCTTCTTCTTCTTCTTCTTCTTTTTTTTTTTTGGGGGGGGGAGGGCCTAAGAATTCTGCTCCAAAGTGGATCACCTCATTCTCTTGTCGGCACAACCACGTACCACGAGCAACTAAGCTATGTCTTGACTCGGGCCGAAAATCCGTAAGCTCAAAGGGCGGCCACCTGTGTTTCTGGCAACCTTAACATTCCTCTACACCGCAAGTTGGCTCAACTGGGAATGAGGCCATCTTAAAAGGCCAGCAAAGGAGATCTGTCAACACGAGTTCCCACGTGCACCTGAAAGAAAAGGGGTCAACAAGCTTTGAAGGCCAGGCCAAACAAACTAATTGTTGACCCCAGAATAATCAACCTCTGTTTGGGCTTCGTGGGGAATCACTTTTGGAGGGGAACACCCCCATATATGAACAAACATGGGCTAAGGGGGGGTTGATTAATATGGGTGTGGGTCAAAAATAGGTACCCAATCTAGAACCCTGGCAAATGGAAACATGCACTAACACCTGCAGTTGCCTGGTGGTTTTTCATTCTGACCCGCCATATGGGGTCAACCTGGAGGGCTCCTTCGCCGCCGCGAGCCGCGCGGGCGCTCCGCCGCGTGCCGGCCGCGCCTTCTGCACGTCTTCTGGGGCCGCCCCCAGCGTGGTGAGGCCCCGGATCAGCTCCTCCCGGGACAGGGACCCGTCCTTGTCCACGTCGAAGGTGCGGAAGGCCTTCCCGATCGCTCGATCGATCCATCCGTCCGAAGTCCGAAGGCGGCGCGGCGGCTTTTTTTCCGCACCAAGAAGGGAAAGAAAGAAAAAGAGGTTTGGAGCCACAGGTGTCCCTTTTTTAGGGGAAATAGATGGGTTTCCCAGGTAGATGATATTAAACCGCCAGGCCACCTATTCTTCGACCAAAACAACCAAAAAGGACACCTGTGTTTGGAGCCCTTCAAGATGCTGTCGTTGTTTTTGCAGGGTGGGACTCCTCGCCGCCGTGCAACTGTCTTCACTTTTGGCACACCCGCTCATGCGTATCACGTCGTAACTGCGCGCATGCTGGCCAAATATTAAGCACACCCGCTCACGCGCATGGTGTCATAAGTGCACAAATGCTGGCACATGATAAGCACACCCGCTCATCGTGTCATAAGTGCACACATGCTGGCACATGATAAGCACACCCGCTCACGCGCATCGCGTTATAAGTGCACACATGCTGGCACATGATAAGCACACCCGCTCATCATGTCAGAAGTGCACACATGCTGGCACATGATAAGCACACCCGCTCAAGCGCATCATGTGATATCTGCGCGCATGCTGGCCAAATGTTGAGCACACCCGCTCACGCGCATGGTGTCATAAGTGCACAAATGCTGGCACATGATAAGCACACCCGCTCATCGTGTCATAAGTGCACACATGCTGGCACATGATAAGCACACCCGCTCACGCGCATCGCGTTATAAGTGCACACATGCTGGCACATGATAAGCACACCCGCTCATCATGTCAGAAGTGCACACATGCTGGCACATGAAATTATATTCATAATATAATAATAACATGTAAAATCTTATATGTTATAATTATATTGAACTTATGGTTTGTAAGGATTGAAATATTTCATTTTTCCTAATTTGGTTATCTCTTTCAAAGTGCGTTGTTTGAACTTGGTATGCTCTTTTGATTTTTTCGTGCTTTGGCTGTTTGTTTTTATTTTGTTTGATACTCTTCTGATATTTTTTGTTGGTATGTTGCTTTGTTTTTTGTTGATGTGTGTGTTTGAGTTTGTGTTCTTTGATGGTTTTTTATTTTTGCTGTTTTGTTGGTATGCTTGATTGAATTATTTAATGTTGTATGCTGTGATTAAATATTTTTGTTGCTGGTTGTGATTATTTATTTTGTTTGCCTGTTGTTCTGGATTTTGTTTTCTGTTTGTTGTGTTGCTGATGGAGAAAAAATAGTAAAAGTAGAATTCCTGGAATTCTCTTTTACTATTTTTCCCCCGGTGTCACCGTCAAGTTGGCAGACAAGATCTCGAAAAGCTTCTTAGTCGTCAGCTTGGTCTTGGAAGCTGATTCGTGATTCAACTTGAAGGACACTATTTGAAAGATGCGTTGCACAGGGCTGTAGTACATGGTCTCGTAGCTGGTCCCAACATCCTCCCTTTGCTTGGCCGCTTCCCAGAACAAATTCAGCCCGGGCTTGAAGCGGCAATCGATCGTGGAAGACAGCCATGCCCTTCTCCATTCCTGCGCTGGCAACTCAATGCTTGGCTAGTAATGTATTTTGGGGCCAAGACAGCGACGGCGCCGGCCTCCTGGAACTTGTCTTGCTGCAAGTCCCTCGCTGTGGCCAAGATGAAGGCGTGATGGTCCTCCTCCGGACTGATCCTCTTCATTTGCCAATTTTTCTGGTCCATAAACAAGTCATCCACTGCCACCACCAAATTTATAGGCTGGGGCTTCTTGTACGTGGTGCGCATGATCCACTTTACGCTGCTCTTGTACACTGGCACACTTGCAGTCGAAGACCATGACCAGCTAACCCACGCTACATTGCCGCCTGCAATGTACTGGTCAGTAGTGGAATCTCCCTCCTTCAAGGCCTCCATCATGGACTGCAACTTGCGATTGTCGAAGGGGTCTCGATGACCGCCCTCCTCGATCGGTCCTGAAAAGATCCGTCCTGAGCAGCAGCGCAGTACTGACTGATGGCATCTCTATTACTGGTCTACGGGCTGCCTTGGCTTGATGAAACGGCCAGTGGGGGCGATAAAATGGTCTACGGGCGTGATAAAATGGTCTACGGGCTTCCCTTGGCTTGCTAAAACGGCGATAAAATGGTCTACGGGCGATAAAATGGTCTAGCTGCCTTCGCTTGATAAAACGGCAATTGGCCTTGATAAAACGGCCATTGGGGGCGATAAAATGGTCTACGGGCGATGAAATGGTCTACGGGCGCCTTGGCTTGATAAAACGGCCATTGGGGGCGATAAAATGGTCTACGGGCGTGATAAAATGGTCTACGGGCTTGCCTTGGCTTGATAAACCGGCGATAAAATGGTCTACAGGCGATAAAATGGTCTACGGGCTGCCTTCGCTTGATAAAACGGCCAAAACCATGCAAAAATCATGCAAAATCGTGCAAAACAGGCTATTCTTTCATCCCATCTGTGCACACATGCGCTGGAGAATGCAAGTCGGGGAGCACGGCGCGGCCAGCCGAAAAAAAAGGCAAGTTGGGCAAGACAACGGCAACAGATCATGGGGCTTGCATGGGGGCGGACGCACAACTACTCGCACCTGGGCCTGCGCGCTTCCAGCAAGGACTTTGACTTGCCGCTAATCTGGGGAGAGTCCAACGACTACATTCTGCACAACGGGCAGAAAAAGCTTGCGCGCTCCCTGCAGCTGCTTTTTCGGGTGAGACGAATGTGAGACACAGAAGATGCCTCGCGAACGAAACTACCATAACCAAACAACAAAGACAAACACAGAAACAACGCACCAAACAACAAACCAGAGACCAGACAACACCAACAGCCAGGCAATAGTTTCGCCCACATGAGAATCGACAACGAAGAGCAACAGCTCAAAAATACATGAACTGAACTGCATTGAGTCCAAATATAGCTATTGAAGTGGCGGGCTTAAAATGTCCGCCGGGGGCACATCTGCGCATCGTTAACCCCCATAAATGGCCACGCAGAGAGCAAAATGCGCAAGTGAGGCGCAGAAAAGGCCGCCAAGCAAAACATCGAGAGGAATTAAAAACCTCTCACGGGCAAAAAAGCCACAGTAAGTGGCCATGTAAAACGAGACACGCACGAATTAGCGCAGCGCATCGGCATCACCTGGCGCCGCCGAGGGCGGCCCTGCGCAGTTCTCACACGCGCATACACCATCACAGCGATGTACGCACAGCGCCACAAAGAAGATCGTGAAAGATGCGGCAAGGCAAGCAGAGGGCCAGAGGCTCATGGAGCTCAAGTGCACTCATGGTGACATGGCAAGTGCGGAGTTCGATTGAGTTCATACGCCAGTCTCTCGGAACTGTGAACTCCTTTGCTGTCCTTAAAGCCTGTTTGCATGGCTCGCAGTGTGTCAGACAATTGCGCCGTCAGGGACGTCAACCATACGGACCTGGCTGGGGAAGGACAGGTAGACAAAATTACGGTTTCACCACCCAAAAGAGCCTGGTGACAAGTGGTGACTTCTCCACAGGGTTACGCACCGTCTTCGGGCCAAAACCGGATTTTTTTAGGTTACCATAAGCAGATTCGGAGAGTTTGCTAGCAGATGTTCCGACCAAGGCAGGGGCTGTTCCGACCCAGGCGGAGAATGTTCCGTCCAATGTTCCGTCGAGGGTTCCGGCAGCAGCAAGTTCAGACGGAAAGTTTCCGGCAGATCAACCGCAGACAGTCACGAGAGTGCACCCCCGGCAAGCGCAGCGGTTGCAAAGCGTGAAAGTGACGGGAGTGAGATGAAGCCACACGTGAAGTTTCAACGTGGAGATGTTCTCACGTACGATTGTGGACCATCCGGAGCAGGTGACGAAAGCCCTAGAAAGAAGGGAAGGATTCAGGCGGTACTTGTGAGTGAGTAGAGTGGCGCAGATGGTGACGAAGAGCGCTTGCGCGCGCCCTCCAACAGCGGCCCGGAGCTGCTGGGCAACCAGAGCGCGCGGGTCTTCCTGGAGCGGGACGGCGGGGCGCACCAGTGCGAGCTCATCATGATCCACGACAAGGCGCTGGTGCAGACAAAGAGCCTCTCGACGCAGCTGTCCCTCACCACGAACCAAACAAACCCCCTGCCTGGCGATCGCCGGCAACACGGGCAACGTGGTCTGCAACACAAGCTTCACTGACTTGTCAGACAGCCGGGTCAAGACGGAGATTGCCCAGGCCGAGCAGCAGGGGTGCAAGTCAGCTTTGGGGGGGTAGTGCAACAGGGGGAGTCAGCTTAGTCAGCTTGGAAAGCTTGGGGGGAGGGTAGTGCAACAGGGTGCAACAGGGGCGCAGCAGAGGCGCACCGCAGCAGGCAGGGGCGCGAGCCAGTATCAAACGAGGTTGGGCGAGCCAGTATCAAACAAGGTTGGGCGAGCCAGTATCAAACGAGGTTGGGCGAGCCAGTATCAAACGAGGTTGGGCGAGCCAGTATCAAACAAGGTTGGGCGAGCCAGTATCAAACGAGGTTGGGCGAGCCAGCATCAAACGAGGTTGGGCGAGCCAGTATCAAACGAGGTTGGGCGAGCCAGTATCAAACGAGGTTGGGCGAGCCAGTATCAAACGAGGTTGGGCGAGCTAGTATCACCACCTCCTACCCGGCGCTTGCTCAGCACCTCACAGCGGTGCCTGCTCAGCACCTCTTACTGGTGCTTGCTCAGCACCTCCTACCGGCGCTTGCTCAGCACCTCCTACTGGCACTGTTTACCGGTGCTTGTTCAGCCCCCCCCGGCCCACCCCCTCCCCTCCCAAAAGGCCCAAGCGCGATTTTGCGGGCACTCTGCTCAAGTGATCTTGCGTCTCAGTCCTTCTACCTGACAGAGCAATCATGAAAATATTCAGAAAACATGTGCACGGAAAGGAGGAGAGCCTCCAGGTCGACAGATCGGATCGACGTCTTCGCCTAGAACAAAAAAGCAGCAACGGCAACTGCGACCTAGAAATGAGCGCGGAGCAGATGAAGGCGCCGGCTGTCCGGGCTCCCGAGAATGCAAAAAACAAGAAAAATGTACTCTCATCCAAGAAACTGAACCTGAGCCGTCAGCTTCGCGATCTGCTTGGCCTGCTCCATCACCTGGCTCTGGGTCGCCACGGTCTGCTCGCGGTACCTGACGGAGCAAACCAACGAAGCGACGGTGTCGCCACTCCGCGATCGCCTCTCCACCTTGTCCGTGAGCTCGACGCACTTGTCGCGCTCGGCCTCCAACCTAGCGATCGTCGCGGCCTGAAGACAAAACAAGTTGGCGCATGCTGGAACTCTGAAAAGAAGGCGCCTGCGTCACCTGCCGGCTCTGCCGCTCGTGGTAGGACGGCGGCCTGCCACTCCGTCAAAAGCTCGGTCGGCAAAGCAAACAAAACTGCACGCCTGTTTCGCTACGGAGGAGGGTGCCGCTGATGCCTGCCAGGCAACGGAGCGCTCAAGATCAAAAAGAATCCAATGAGGCGTCGACGGATGGTTCCAGCGACCTCCTTGCGCCTCCAGTCAAACATCAATGACAACATGTTGCGACCCCCTCTCTCAAGCCTCTGCAGGCGGATTCTCAAGAATGCAATGAGGCGTCGGCGGATCCCAATGTGCTCCATGTGTCTTCTGTCAGACATCAATGACAACAATGTGTACAAAAGAAGCACCCCTCCCACACTTCCTGGTCATGTGATCCTGCAAGA